TTGTCAACCCTAATAAAGTCCTATTTATCAGAAGTATCCTAATTCCATAGAAATTCGATGGTCACAATTCAGACAAAACCCGTTCTTTTTGAACAAGTGAAGTCCAATTTGAAATCAAGACTAGGTGGGAGGCCTCCCCAAATTTGGGAAACCTCGTACTTGCAACATAAACTCACGTTCCAGAGTTTGCTTGAAGCCCCCTGAACTTCTTTCCAGTCTCCAACTTAATTTTTGAACTTTTTTCAGCTTCCACTTTAGTCCTTCGCCTTCTTGAATTAGTCCAGCATATATGGACGAGATACAAATTTGAGAGCCCATGTTTGATTTTGGTACAAAGTTGAGTTCATGTATAGTTTTGATTAGGGGTTTTGACATACAAAAAATGAAGTCAAATTATATGGTCCCAGAACTGGAGCCCAGTTAGGGAGTTCAAGATATAGGCACAAATGAGACAATTGTAGAATATAACAGATATCCATAAACAAAGTACTATCATTGCCCAAATCTACAGGACGCCCAGGATCCGAGCGAATGAAGTGCTTTATTGTCACCCAGAAAGATGATTATATTCTCGCCCAAGCCTTTGAGTCGCTCAAGATTTGAGCGAATACGGTGTCTTGTGGTTACTTAAAACGCGGTTATTAAAGTGGTTATTGAGCAACATTATCAAACTCCACGATCCAAGAATCTTGGTTACAAGCCGTTAAATGACAAGAGCAGTAGCAACAGTTGCAAACGGCAGTTCCTTGACAAGTCAGTCATCACGAAGAAAGTGGGTAATTATAAAGTGCCAAGCAATTTTCAGGCAGTTCTACAGTGAAAATCGTCAAAGGAGTATAAAAAATAAAAGAAGACATAGAAGGAAGGACCCTGAATCAATCACTCTCAAACAGAGAATATGTAATTTCAATTCATTTAATTTTCTAAGTGCAAACTTTCAATTTACTTCGTGTGCTTGTGCCCCTTGGAGGCGTTTTGCTTCTTCCCAATTGTAATCTTCATAAATAAAGCACCCCATTTTGGGACTTTATCTCAAGAGATTTGTTCCTTACACAAGCGTCTGAACCTATCTTTTAATTGTTAGCGACAACCCGCGCAAAACAATTTGGCACGCCTAGTGGGACAATTGGTGTATGAGGATACGAAAAGTGAAGCATTATGCCTCATAAGAATTCTGATAAAGAACTAGTAAGCCAAGGAGTAGTCCAGTCTGTAATCGAGTAATATGAGGAGCAGCAAAGCTCTCCACGAACAGAGGGACAGAGTCATAGCAGTCAAAATTGCTACGAGTCAATGACAGAGTTGAGTCCTCGAACCATGCGCGTATTGCTTGGGAAACTCACACAGGACGTCGTTGAATAGGTAAATCCACAAAATGTTCATAATATGGAAAGATTTACCCAAAATTGGAATGCACATTATGACAACATGGTCAAACAACTAAATACATTAAATAATATATTGAACAAGTTAGTAGGCCAAATTTGTCAGCCAGTCGTGCCATCGCATATCACTTTCAAACTGGGACGATTG